AAAAAAAAAAAAAAAAAAAAAAAAAAGGCTGCATAGATAACTTGCTTAATTTCTCACATTTAGTAAGCTGATATTGACTTGTGGTTTATTTATTCCAATACTAGTGCCCATAACTACCCTGGCTCTGTTTTTGATATGGATATGGTCCACCCTGTGAAGTGAGCTGGACTTTGCTTCTGGGTCACACGAATCCATGGATAAGTAGGAAGAATTGTTTCTGCTTATGTAGAATCTTACAGGAGTAAATTGTTAACATACTATGGATCCTCTCTTCATTTAGTTCAGCCTTCCTTAGGACCTTTGGGTAGGCACTGGGGTAGGAGACTTTTTCCTTGTTTGTTGGCAGGTCTGCTCCACAATTAGATATGGCTAACTGCCCTTTGGCTATATAAATAATAAGAATTATAACTGGTGTTTGTGTCCTTTTATGTATGAGACTGTGTTCTAATCTTCTTACATACATATTAATTCGGGAGGTAGGTACAGTTATCTTCATGTTACAGATGAGGAAACAAGCACAATAACTTCAGTGAAATACCTTGCTTAGCCTGGATTGAACACAGTCAGTTCCTTTTTTTTGAGACAGAGTCTCCCCCAGGTTGGAGTGCAGTGTGGCACAGCCTCAGCTCACTGCAATCTCCGCCTCCCGGGTTCAAGCGATTCTCCTGCCTCAGTCTCCCAAGTAGCTGGACTATAGGCGCATGCCTCCACACCCAGCAAATTTTTTATTTTTAGTAGAGATGGGGTTTCACCATGTTAGCCAGGCTGATCTCGAATTCCTGACCTCAGGTGATCCACCCACCTCAGCCTCCCAAAGTGCTGGGATTACAGACGTGAGCTACCATGACTGGCCAGCAGTCCATTTTCTTTTCTTTTCCTTTTTTTTTTTTTTTTTTTTGAGACGGATCCTCTGTAGCCCAGGCTGGAGTGTAGTGGCGCAATCTTGGCTTGCTGCAACCTCTACCTCCTGGGTCCTGGTTCAAGCGATTTCCTGCCTCAGCCTCCTGAGTAGCTGGGATTACAGGAACATGCCACTATGCCCAGCTAAATTTTGTATTTTTATTATTAGAGACGGGATTTCACCATGTTGGCCAGGCTGGTCTTGAACTCCTGACTACCTGATTCACCCGCCTCAACCTCCCAAAGTGCTGGGATTATAGGCGTGAGCCATCTTGCATGGCCTTTTTTCTTTTTTTTGAGACGGAGTCTCGCTCTGTCGCCCAGGCTGGAGGGCAGTGGCATGATCTCCACTCACCACAATCTCTGCCTCCCGGGTTCAAGCAATTCTTTTGCCTCAGCCTCCTGAGTAGCTGATATTACAGGTGTAAGCCACCATACCCAGCTAATTTTTGTATTTTTAGTAGAAACAGGGTTTCACCATGTTGGCCAGGCTGGTCTTGAACTCCTGACCTTGTGATCTGCTGCATTGGCCTCCCAAAGTGCTGGGATTACGGGCGTGAGCTACTGCACCTGGCCTAGAGACAGGGTTTCACCATGTTGGGCAGGTTGGTCTCTAACTCCTGACCTGGTGATCCACCCACCTCAGCCTCCCAAAGTGCTGGGATTACAGGCATGAGCCACTGTGCCTGGGCTAGCTGTCCATTTTCATGCTGTTTACTTCTCATCCAGGAAAAGGCACATCTATATACTTTGCCATTGTCACTCTACAACTAGTACTTATTACAAGTTCTAAGCCAAATTTAAGACCAAATTTTGTAGACAGATCTTTGCTCACTTCATCCACTTCCTTCTGTTCTCTGCTTATCTTTCTCCTTCAATATTCAGCTCTATTTTTAATCTTTAGGGATTTTTCCTACCTCTGAAATCCTGTATCTCTGATCTTCTATGTGATTAATTTGATCTCTGGGATGTACTGCCTTGTAAATGTGTATGTGTGTTTACCATATTCTCTTACCCCAAATTTGGGTACATCGTTGACCAAAGGAAGACTTTTATAATCTGAGAGACATTATTTTAACTATAAACCTTTGGAATTTCTAGACTTGTTGGGGCAAAGAGAGATAATAAACTGGGAAATGATTAAAAGGCCCAGCATTTCAGCATGGTCTCCATCTCCCCAGTAAGCCCCTTGAACCCAGGGACTGTTTTACCTCAATTCTATTTACAGCCCCGTGTACATTGCTCTGCCCAGAGTAAACTCTCCAAAAATTTTTTTGAAAATGTTCTTAAGGTCACACTGTCATATGATTGTTTCACCATTTCTATCCCTTTCAGCCTCCCTGTGTTGGGAGATGTTTCTAATGCTGGCTTAGTTATTAGATCTGATTCCGCCTAGAACCAAATGTAAGGACATGTGTCATTCAGAACTATTGTTAGTCCCAGGTATCTACCCTTGTCTCTCCCTCCATTTCACACTCCTTCAGCTTTTAGGAGGTGGTCAACTTCATCATGTTTTCCCATGTACCCTATTTATTCCCTGCTTCTATACCTTTGCCCAGCTTTCCCTTCCGGCTGGAGGCCTATCTTATCCTTCAAGATCTGGTTTAGTTTTTTCAACGGGGGTGATTTTTTTTTTTCCTAGGTGACATTTGGCAATGTCTGGAGACATTTTTGCTTGTCACAACTGGGGGAGGAGGCATCTCGTGGGTAAAAGCCAGGAATACCACTAAACATTCCTATAGTACAGGACAGCTTCCCACAGCAAAGCATTATCCAGCCGTAAAAGTCAATAGTCCCTATTGCGAAAGCCTAGTGTAGTCCCAGTCTTTGCTCTTCAGGAGATTCTTTAGAGTTCTTCCCCATCTGCTTCACTATTCCAGACTTCCAGGACACCCAGGCACCACACAGCACTAAGCAGTAGAACATGGTGGGTTAACAGTATGGACTGACTGGGATTGAATCCTAATCCTAGCACTTACTTACACTGATACCTTGGGCAAATACTTAACTTCGCAGAACTCTTCTTTTCTCAGCTGTAAAATTTGAATAATAGTAGTAACCTACCTCATAGGCTGTTATGAGGATTAAATTAATGAATATGGAAAAAGTGCTTAGAGAACAGTATGTGGCACATACTAAGTGCTCAATAAGTGTTAGCTATAACAATAATATTTTTATTATTATCAGCATCTAGCTCAGGGGTTTCAAAACTAGCCAGCCAGCTTGCAGACATGCTTGGCCAGCCCAGCATTTTTTGTTTTATAACTAAGATATTGTTTACATACCACAGAATTCATCATTTTATTATTATTTTTAATTTTTTAATTTTCATTTTGTCAAGCCCAGTGGATTCCCATTTATTATTATTTTTTGAAATAGAGTCTTACTCTGTCACCCAGGCCGCTGTGCAGTCATGAACTTGGCTCACTGTAACCTCCGTCTCCCAGGTTCAAGCGATTCTCCTGCCTCAGCCTCCTAAGTGTCTGGGATTACAGGTGCACACCACCATGCCGGGCTAATTTTTTTATATTTTTAGTAGAGATGGGGTTTCACCATGTTGATCAGATTGGTATTGAAACTCCTGACCTCATGATCCCTCCAGCTCAGCCTCCTAAAGTGTTGGGATTACAGGCATGAACCACAGCACCCGGCCAGAATTCATTTTTCTAAAGTTTACCAGCCAGGTGCAGTGGCTCAGGCCTGTAATCCCAGCACTTTGGGAGCCTGAGCTGGGCAGATTTCTTGAGCCCAGGAGATTGAGATCAGCCTGCACAACATGATGAATCCCTGTCTCTATAAAAAATACACAAATTAGCTGAGTGTGGTGGTGCATTTGTAGTCTCAGCTTTTTGGGAGACTGAGGTGGGAGGATGGCTTAAACCCAGGAGGTGGTGGTGGTGGTTGCAGTGAGCCAAGATCATGCTACTGCACTCCAGCCTGGCTGACAGAGCCAGACCCTGTGACAATAAATAAATTTTACAATTCATGGCTTTTAGTATACTTACAATGTTGAACATTTTCGTTACTTCAGAAAGAAGCTCTATACCCATTAGCTGTCAATTCCCTTTTCCCTCCAGCTGTCTTAGCCCCTGGCAACTACTAATCTACTTTCTGTCTCTATGGATTTGCCTATTCTGGACTGGACATTCTGTATGAACAGAATCATACAATGTGAGGCCCTTTGTGGCTAGCTTCTTTCTTTCTCTTTTTTTCACCAAATAAAATGTTTCTGAGTCATGTAGCTTCTTTCACTTAGTGTAATGTTTTCAAGGTTTGTGCATTAGAACTTCATTCCTTTTTACTGACAAATTAATGTCTCTACATTAATTTCTTTTTTAGCCCTTTGTGCCATGTTTATGTAAAGTCTTAACCTTTGGGGAGGCTGGGTAAAGACTATATATGGTAACTGTTCATACTATCTATATAAATCTGTAAATCTAACATTATAACAAATTACAAGTTTAAAAAGTACATAAATTTACAATATATAGAGAAAAATAGAAATGTGCATATTTTATCATGATACAAAACAAACATTTGATTGCTTACTTGTTTGTTGATTTTTTTTTTTTTTTTTTTTTTTTTAAAGACGGGGCTTCACCAAGTTGGCCAGGCTGGTCTCGAACTCCTGACCTCAAGCAATCTACCCGCCTCAGCCTCCCAAAGGAGGCTGGGATTACACGCCTGGGATTACAGGCGTGAGCCACCGTGACCGGCTTTTTTATGTTTTTTCTTTCCTTTGTTATCTTCTAATCCTCTGATCATTTATCATTGTCAAGGTTGAGCAGATAGAGAAGTGCATACATTCTGCAGCTTGAGTGCCTAATTTCAGATTGTTTCTACCATTTACTATGTGATTTGGGGCAATTAAATTAACTTCCTGTGTCAAGTGGGAGGATCACTTGAGCCCAGGAGTTTGAGGCTGTAGTAAGCTAAAAGATTATCTTGAATTATAGATTTGGGAAGTATTAAGTCTTCTAATTCATGAACATGGGATATCTTTCCATTTGTTTAGGTCTTTATTCTTACTGTTACTATTTTTTGTAGAGACATGGTCTGGCCTTGTTGCTCAGGCTCATCTTGAACTCCTGGCTTCAAGCAGTCCTCCTGCCTCAGCTTCCCACAGTACTGGGATTACATGCATAAGCACTATGACTGCCACACTTGTTTAGTGCTTTAATTCAACAATGTTTTAGTTTTCCATGGACAAGTCCTGTACTTCTTTGGTTACATTGGTTCTAAATCAGTAGCATTTTATTCTTTTTGTTGCTGTAATTTAAATTTGTGTGTGTGTGTGTGTGTGTGTGTGTGTGTGTGTGTTTTAAGACGGGGTTTCACCATGTTGGTCAGGCTGGTCTTGAACTCCCGACCTCAGGTGGTCTGCCCACCTTGGCCTCCAAAGTGCTTGGATTACAGGCGTGAGCCACTACGCCTGGCCTAAATTATTTTCTTAATTCCATTTTCTGCATGTTCTTTGCTAGTGCATAGACATACAATTTTTGGGCCAGGCACGGTGGCTCATGCCTGTAATCCTAGCACTTTGGGAAGCTGAAGTGGGTGGATCACCTGAGGTCAAGAGTTCAAGACCAGCCTGGCCATCAGGTGATCCACCCACCTTGGCCTCACACAGTGGTGGGATTATGGACATGACCCACCGCCCCCGCCACAAATGTTTTTTATATTGATATTTTACAGCCCGATGTTTTTAATAATTTGCATATGTTTAGGCCAAGCACGTCCTCTCCAGTTTGATACAGAATCATCATCCCCCATTATGACACATATATCTGCCTGGCCCCTAATGAAATTTTCCTCTGGTCTCCTGCTGGTTGTTTTTGAGAGTTTTATCATCACCCATAGATTGTAAACAACCTAAGTTGGCTGTAAATATTGTTGCTAGGCTGATGACATCAGGAAGGGCTGAAGACAGAGGGAATGGCAATAAGGTATGAATGAGGAGGAATGAGTTCATGTGAACCCAAGGATAAAGAAGGTCTTCTCTGACGCCTAATAAAGAAAATCAGGATTCAGTTGCAGAGGGCCCATATTCTTTCTTGCTCTTAGGGATGAATAAGAGAGAATCCCCACAGGGAGACACTGCTGGAGAGAGTCGTACTGGGGAGGCAGCTGGAGCAGCAAGATGCTGTCGAGACCAAAACCAGGGGAGTCTGAGATGGACCTGCTGCGCTTCCAGAGTCAGTTTCTTGCAGCTGGTGCAGCCCCAGCGGTGCAGTTGGTGAAGAAAGGAAATAGGGGCGATGGTGATGCCAACTCAAACCGGCCTCCGCTACAGGACCATCGGGATGTGGTGATGTTGGACAGTAAGTGCCCCGGAGGTATGAGGCTGAGAAGTAGACAGGGTACAGCCTCTGCCCCTCCCTCTTCCTGATACGGTTGGATTCAGATACATTGTTATTTCAGACACTTGCTGCAGCCCCATTTTACAGAGGAAGAAACTGAGGCTCAAAGGGGTTAAATATCTTACGCAAGGTGACAGCTTGAGCCAGCACCCCATGGAAGCCAAAGCTTGCTTTCTTAGGCTGCAGTGACTTCCTAGGAAGGTGCATATACTCATGTTTGGGATCTTTTCTTTCTCAGATCTTCCAGATCTGCCCCCAGCTTTGGTCCCTTCGCCCCCGAAGAGAGCCAGGCCCAGCCCTGGCCACCCCCTGCCTGAGGATGAGGACCCAGAAGAGAGGCTGAGGAGGCATGATCAGCACATCACTGCTGTCTTGACTAAGATTATTGTGCGTCTCACTCTGGCTGAGTAGGATAAGATGTTCTTGGGCAACAGGGATATTGGATGCTCGGGTTGGTTAAGCCTTATGAGTGGAGGGTGCTTCAGAAAGGGAGACTTTTCCCCACTGCAGTCTGGTTGGGGGGCTGGCTTAGAGTCACTTTGCCCTGAAGGGAGGAGGGTCCATAATCCCCCAGAGTGAGGTTGTATCATTCAGAACTAGGCTAATAGGATAGGGTCCAGCCTGGGGAAGTCTGTCCATTGTGCTTCAAAACTTTGTGCTTTGTTGCTACAGGAACGAGATACAAGTTCAGTGGCCGTGAAGCTGCCTGTGCCCAGTGCTGTTGCTTTCCCCCCTGTGTTCCATCGCTCTCGGGACACACAGGTAGGCAAGGGGAAGCTTAGGTGGTGCTTAGGAGACAGACAGGTGAGTCTCATAGGCATCTTCTCCCGACAGGTAGTTTTAATGATGACAGGCAATTTCATTTACAAAGCAGGACTGTACTAAGCACTTCATACCCATTACTTCTTTTAATCTTCATAACAAACATATAAGGGAGGTATCATGATGATATCTTGGGGATGAGGATTCCTTATTCCCATTTTTCAGATGAGGAAACTGACACCCCCTAAAGAAATAAATAACTTGTCCAACACCAGACATAAAATAGGTAGAAGAGCCAGAACTTCAGCCCAAGTCTGTCAGATTCTAAGATCTTTACTCCTATAGGCCTCTCCTTTTTTCTGAGGACTAGTGTTATGATCCCTGGAGACTGAGCAAAACCCCTTTTATCTCTTTGTTCCAGAGACCTTGGTATAAAGAGGCTGAGAGGAAAGTGGGATAATGAGCATCAGTAACTTGGGTTTTCTTTTTGCCCCACAGGGGAAATCAGCAACATCTGGTAAGAGAAGCATCTTTGCCCAGGAGATTGCAGCAAGGAGAATATCTGAAGCCAGGGTCCCATCAGCTGGGGAAGTTGTGCCCAATCTGGGCCCACCAGAGGGTGAGCTGGTTTGAAGAAGCTTGGGCTTGGTCTTTTTAAAAGACACAATCATACGGTTATTTTTGAAGACACGTCTACCTGCCTCAAATGGGAGGTGCATTTGAGCCATCTGAAGTAATCTGAGAATACAAGTTATGGGAGGCTTGGGTCCATATCCCGGTCTCAGGTGCTGGGAGTGAGGCAGGCCATTATGTAATCCTAAGAGAAAGGGAATAGTCTGGCAGAGACTGTAAAATAAATGTATTGGCCAAGATTCCTTTAATGATGCAAATTATTAGCCGAAGAGCCAGGAGCAGGCCCCTAGCTATAGATGGCTGCCTGGATATCCAAGAGAAGAGTCAGAAATTAGGGTGTTTCTGGAGGAAACCTTTTCATAATAGTATTAGGGAAGTAGTGAGTGGAGAAGCCACCTGGAGTCCTATGCCAGACCAAATGGGGTCTGCACTCTGTCTAAAGAAAGCTTGGATCTGTACCTGTCTCCAGGGCTAATAGCCTTATAGAAGAGGGCCAGAAAGCCCAGTTAGAGCCATGGAGGACAGAGCAATGAATGTGGCCATACCTTTCTTCCAGGTGCTGTGACCTGCGAGACACCGGCTCCTAGGGAACAGGGCTGCCAGCTTCCTGGAAGCAGCCACAGCTTCCAGGGACCTAATCTGGTCACAGGGAAGGGACTCAGGGGTCAAGAAGCTGAGCAGGAAGCCCAGACTATCCATGAAGAGAATGTAGCAAGACTGCAGGCCATGGCTCCTGAGGAGATCCTGCAGGAACAGCAGCGGTTGCTGGCGCAGCTTGGTATGGGTGCCTTGCTTTCCTGCTGAGACCAGGCTAGGAGGGGACCACCACTATTGAGTAAGGCTTACTGTGAGTTCCGGACACTGTGCTGAGTACTTTAATACTTTTTTTTTAATTTTTGAGACGGAGTTTTGTCCTTGTTGCCCAGGCCGGAGTGCAATGGCGTGATCTCGGCTCATCGCAACCTCCGCCTCCTGGGTTCAAGTAATTCTCCTGCCTCAGCCTCCCAAATAGCTGGGACTACAGGCACGTGCCACCGTGCCCAGTTAATTTTTGTGTTTTTAGTAGAGTCAGGGTTTCACCATGTTCACCAGGATGGTCTCAATCTCTTGACCTTGTGATCTACCCGCCTCGGCCTCCCAAAGTGCTGGGATTATAGGCGTGAACCACCACGCCTGGCCAATACTTTTTTTTTTTTTGAAATGGTCTTGCTTTATCACCCAGGCTGAAATGCAATGGCCTGCACTTCATGCATGCCATGAAGTGCTCACTGCAACCTCCGCCTCCCAAGTTCAAGTGATTCTCCTGCCTCAGCCTCCCAAGGAGCTGTGATTACAGATGTGCACCACCATGCCTGGCTAATTTTTTTGTATTTTTAGTAGAGACGGGTTTCACCATGTTGGCCAGACTGATCGCCAACTGCTGACCTCAAGCGACCCATCCACCTCGGCCTCCCAAAGTGCTTGGATTATAGGCATGAGCCACAGCGCCTGGCCAAGGACCTGCTAGTAACCACTGTCCTTATATAACTGTATTACCCTGGTGTAGTATACACTATGTGTTATTATAGCTATACTCTAGTATAACTACAGTCTCTTCTATGCTAAGCTATACCTGCCTGCCCCATGTCTGCTCACCAAAATGCTAGGCACTCAGTCAATCTTGTTACCCACTGTATGCTAGCACCTCTACAGAGTATGTGTTAGGGCTCAGTATGGTGCCTTGCACCTGTAATCCCAGCAGTTTGGGAGGTTGAGGTGAGAGGACCGCTTGAGGCCAAGAGTTCAAGGCCAGCTTGGACAATATCGTGAGACCCTCATCTCTAAAAAAATTAAGATATGAAAAATTAGCAAGGTGTGGTGGCGCATGACTGTAGTCCCCTGGGAATTTGGGAGGCTGAGGCAGGAGGATTGCTTAAGCCCAGGATTTTGAGGCTGCAGTGAGCTATGATTGTGCCACTGCACTCCAGCATGGGTAACAGAGCAAGACCCTGTCTCTTTAAAAATATATATACAGCCTGACCAACATGATGAAACCTTATCTCTACTAAAAATACAAAATTAGCCAGGTGTGGTGGCATGCATCTATAATCCCAGCTACTCAGGAGGCTGAGGCAGGAGACTCACTTGAACCTGGGAGGTAGAGGCTGCGGTGAGCAGAGATCATGCCACTGCACTCCAGACTGGGTGACAGAGTGAGACTCATCTCAAAATTATATATATAAGCTGGGCGCGGTGGCTCACACCTGTAATCTCAGCACTTCAGGAGGCTGAGGTGGACAGATCACCTGAGGTCAGCAGGTCGAGACCAGCCTGACCAATATGGTGAAACCCCGTCTTTTAAAAAATAATAATAATAAATATATATATATATATATATATTTGTTTGTTTGTTTTGGCCCTAGTCAACATTAACTTAGTCATTTTACAGCCACTTACATCGGAACTGTCACCTGAAGCCAGGCACAGGGATAGGCATAGGAACCTGGGCCGGGGGACTGTGATGGATGGAGAGAAAGGTGGGCCTAGTGACCCCACAGGTGTAAGAAGACTAGGTCATTAATGGACCACAGAAGCATCCAGAAGTCTCAGGTCCAGGCTGGGAAGCAGCTTGTCCTGTCCTTGGCACCTACAGATAGGCAATATTCAGCAGGTTCCAGGTCTGTAGGAGGCCAGGGAGGATCTGTCTCACTCACTCTCCCCTCTACTTTCACCTCTAGACCCCAGCTTGGTTGCTTTCTTGAGATCTCACAGCCGCACCCAAGAGCAAACAGGAGAGAAGGCCTCTGAGGAGCCCAGGCCAGGAAGACCCTCTGCTAATGTCACCAAGGAGGAGCCCCTCATGTCATCTTCTGCCAGTGAGCCCAAGAAGGGAGACAAGCTAGAGCCAGAAGCCCCAGGTTTGTAGGAGGTGGGAGTCAGATTTTGGTGGATAAAAGTAGGGGAAAGTGTCCCTTCTAGGCCTAGGAAATGAGAGAAGAGAGAAGCTTCTCTGCTTTTGGACATCTAACATTAATCCTCATTATTGGCTTCAAGTCAGTCTTCATTGCTGATGCATGTCTTCTTCCTGCATATGCTTCCTGTTCTCTTGTCCTCTTACTGCTTCTCCACCTTCCCTTTTAAGGGGCAGCAGTGCGTGGTGGCTGAATCCCGCCCCACCCCCTCCCCGCAGACTGCCTTCCTGCCCCTGCTGTAGCTGCCCCAGCTCTGGCTCTGTCCATCCCACTGTTCTCTCTCTCTCTGCTCACAGTGTTGAGGGGAAGATGTCAGGGCCAGGGTAATGGGAGAGGCAGAATCTGACAGAGGTCTTATGAACATGCCAGACCAGAAGCAGAGGCCAGTGGAAGTACTCATTTCCCAGAAACTAGATTATTTCATTAGTGATTAACAAAAGAAGAAATTGAATTATGACAGCCCGGAACCTCATGCTCCTGGAGGAACTCCAGGCCAGCTGAGCAGGTTGGGTGGGGGTAGGCATGAGGGAGGAAAATGTGGGATTTGTTTCTGTATTCTGTCCCCCAGAAGCAGTATAGCTGCCTCCTCCTCCTCCTCCTCCTTGTCCCCACTCCCGTGCTCCTTTAAGGGCTGATACTGGAGAGTGGAGAGGCTTCCCGATATGTGTGGTCCTCCCTTCTTTCTCTTTTTCTCCTTTTTTTTTCTTTCTTCCTTCTCCTCCTCCTCCTCTCTCCCTTCCCAACAAATCCTTGGGGTCAACAAGGGGCTGGAGTCCAGGATGGAGTATGTCTGTCATATTTGAGACTTTCATCCCAGCCCTAGGAGTTACAGTCTCTGGGCCATGTCTTTTAGCCATAACTGAAAGTAGAAGCTGTCAGATCCTGGAACAGAGGTAGATGTGGCAGCTGCTGGGTGACGATGGAGACTCCTGTGGATACTGAGCTGAGCCCTTTGGGGAATACTGTCACGCTCTGTCTCCCCAGCTCTGGCACTGCCCGTGACCCTTCAGAAAGAATGGCTGCACATGGACACTGTCGAGCTGGAGAAGCTCCATTGGACCCAGGACTTGCCCCCTCTCCGGCGGCAGCAGACACAGGAGGTGAGGAAGGCCAGCTGGCCTATGAGAGGAGGGGTGAGATGGGTCGGGAGAGGAGCTGCTGCTCTTGCCCTCAGAACTCATGACTTTCTATTGCCCAGAGCCTGAGAAGCATCCCTCCTTTGCTCTCACCCATCTTTCACATGACTCTGCCTGGCCCCCAAGGCCAGATAAGCTCCATATCTGGTCGAGGTAGAGTCAGTACCTAAGTCCTGAAAGGCCTGGGATTAAAGGTGGGGAGTGGGTGTGGGAAGCTTGCTGGTACCCCCAGGCAATTGTCCTCTTTCTCCATTAGAGGATGCAGGCTCGTTTCAGCCTTCAGGGAGAACTACTGGCCCCTGACATGGACCTGCCCACCCACCTGGGTCTGCACCACCATGGAGAGGAGGCAGAGGTGAGGCATGGGACTGGAGAGGATGGGGCAGCTCTTTTAACAACCCTGTGGAAAGGGATCTCTGGTCAATTGCCTTTGACCTTCTGCATGCCCTGTTCTAGTTCATGCCCTTCAGTGCATTGTTTCTTAGGCTTAAAATCCTGATCCTCTCTCCACATTCTGATCAGTTGCTAGAACTTGCTGATCTTCTGTCACCTCCTTATGATGCCCCCTGCACTGTGGCCTTGCATCCTCTGTCTGCTGGCTCTCCATGCCCTCCGCTCTCTGCCCCCTGCCATTCCATGCCTCACGGGGCTGCTGTGCTGATTTCTCCTGGCCCAGCTCAGGCCATGCCTTGCCTCTGGAAGTTTCCCAGCTCTCCTCTGCTCACAGAATAACGTCCTGGCCTCAACTGGGCAAGACAGTCCTTCCACCTTCTGTTCCTGCTGACCCTGCTGCTCTGCCTCCTTCACTTCCTGCTGCACCGCACTGCTGGCTTCTCCCCATGCACCTGTGCTCAAGGACCTATAGGACTCCACCCACTCCGGGGAATGCCTTTGTCTTTTGCTCCATAACAGGCCATCAAAGCTCTACCCATCCAATGAGACCAGTTTGATTTTCAGGTCCCCTTCTCTCTTTGTCCTGTCCTCTGGTCACACATTAAACATCAGTTACCATGCTCCTCTGCATCTGACTTATGACATGGTTACTTGTATGCAAGTTGTCTCTTTACCGGCTTGAAGCTCCATGGAGAGCAAGGCGAATTTCACTTATTTACCTTTGTCTTCCCTGTGATACCTTGCTTGGTGTTTTGGGGGCACTGTGCTGTATCCTGGCTGCTTCTGACTTCTTGTTCCTGCCCCAGAGAGCAGGGTACTCCCTACAGGAGCTGTTCCACCTGACCCGCAGCCAGGTGTCGCAGCAGAGAGCACTGGCACTGCATGTGTTGGCCCAAGTCATAAGCAGGGTGAGTGGATTGCCAGCCTGGTCCTGCCCACCCTGTCCTTCACCCCACAGCCTCAGACTTCCCCATCTCCTGCCCTTTTCACACTGGCTCACTAGCCAGATATGTGCTTTAACAACCTAGGATCATAGCGGGGCAAACAAAGGATTAGGGCAAAGCCTCTAGATAACTTCAGCATCTTCAGCAAGGTTTTATCCTCCTGTCCCTAGGCCCAGGCTGGTGAGTTTGGGGACCGGCTAGCCGGCAGTGTCTTAAGCCTCCTTTTGGATGCGGGTTTCCTCTTCCTACTGCGCTTTTCCTTGGATGACAGAGTGGATGGGGTCATTGCAGCTGCCATCCGTGCTCTTCGGGCTCTGCTGGTGGCTCCTGGAGATGAGGTACCACAGGGATAGGAATGGGGCTTGGGCTTGGAGGTGTCAAGGTCCCTATTCCTATTGTTGGGTATGCCCCATTGCTAAGGCTTTACAGGCAAGATGTAGAATGGGATGGCAGGCGTCTCCCTCGTCTCCTAAAGGCCCCAGAGCCCAGGAGCCTTGCCTTTCTGCTTTTTGTTGGGGGAGCATCCTCTCTACTCCTAGACCCATTTCCTGGCCTCTTCAGCATCACCCCCTGTCTCCATTTCCTCTGGCAGGAACTCCTCGACAGCACCTTCTCTTGGTACCATGGAGCTTTGACGTTCCCTCTCATGCCCAGTCAGGAGGACAAGGAAGATGAAGATGAGGATGAAGAACACCCAGCAGAAAAGGCAAAAAGGAAAAGCCCTGAAGAAGAAAGCAGGCCTCCACCTGACCTGGCCCGACATGATGTCATCAAGGTAAAGGGACAGCCTCTTTCCCATCCCATGGCCTAGGGCACACATGCTAGAAACACATGCTGAAAAGAGGGGTCATCAGTGCTCAGGGCCCAGCTGCAACTGTCAGTGGGTTTCTCTCTCCAACCCCCAGGGGCTCCTGGCTACCAGCCTGCTGCCTCGGCTGCGCTATGTGCTGGAGGTGACCTACCCAGGACCTGCTGTGGTTCTTGACATCCTGGCCGTGCTCATCCGCCTGGCCCGGCATTCCCTGGAGTCAGCCACAAGGGTGAGGAAAAGGAAGCAGGGAATGGGAAAAAAGCCTAGCGGGGCCTGCTCTTGACCCACAGCCTCCCTGCTTCCCTTTTCCTTCTGTCACCCATAGGTCCTGGAGTGCCCTCGGCTGATAGAAACCATAGTTCGAGAGTTCTTGCCCACCAGCTGGTCTCCTGTTGAGGCAGGACCTACCCCCAGTCTATACAAAGTACCCTGTGCTACTGCCATGAAACTACTTCGTGTCCTGGCCTCAGCTGGGAGGAATATTGCTGCTCGGCTGGTGAGCAGGGCACAGGGCAAGGGAGGGGGGAATGCGTGGGACAGTGTTGGGTTGGGAGCTAAACATAGCCCCTGAACTCTGGGGAGCCAGCTCTTGCCATCTTCCTCTTCCTCTTTGGTTCAGTTGCTTAGAAACGTGGCAGAAACCACCAGATATGAACCTGTTTATTGGAGCCTGGTGCATCATACAGGCCTACTGTGGTCTCATGATGTGATAGGAGGTCTCCCTGTTCCCTAGACCCAGATCAGAAAGACCTCATGCACATAGGCACTCATCACCCATAGCTAAGTAGCCCTAGAGAAGGTGCCCAGCAAGTCTTGCTAAAAAGAGGGAGGGCTAGGTGTGGTGGTGGCTCATGCATGTAATACCAGCACTTTGGGAGGCCAAGGCAGGAGGATCACTTGAGGCCAGGAGTTCAGGGGCCAGCCTGGGCCCTGAACAAAACAAAAGCAAAAAATTAGCCAGATATGGTAGCACATGCCTATAGTCTCAGCTACTTGGTAGTCTGAGGTAGAAGGATCACCTGGGCCCTGGAGGTCGAGGCTGCAGTGAGCTATGATTGCACCACTGCGCTGCAGCCTAGGTGATAGGTTGAGACCCTGTCCGAAAAATACTACTACTGGCCAAGTGCATTGGCTCACACCTGTAATCCCTGCACTTTGGGAGGTCGAGGTGGTGGATCACTTGAGGTCAGGAGTTCAAGACCAGCCTGACCAACATGGCAAAACCCTATCTCTACTGAAAATAGAAAAATTAGCCAGGTGTGGTGATGCTCGCCTGTAGTCCCAGCTACTTGGGAGGTTAAGGAAGGAGAATTGCTTGAACCCAGGAGGTGGAGGCTGGAGTGAGCCAAGATCGCACTGCACTCCAGCCTCGTTGGCAAAGCAATGCTCCCCCTAAAAAAAATAATAACAGGAGCCAGGTGTGGTGGCTCATACCTGTAATCCCAGCACTTTGGGAGACTGAGGTAGCTGGATCATGAGGTCAGGAGTTTGAGACCAGCCTGGCCAACATACTGAAACCCCGTCTCTACTAAAAATACAAAAATTAGCCAGGTATGGTGGTGTGTGCCTGTAGTCCCAGCTATGCAGGAGGCTGAGGCAGGCGAATCTCTTGAACCCAGGAGGCGGAGGTTGTGGTGAGCCGAGATTGCGCCACTGGACTCCAGCCTGGTCAGCAGAGACTGTCTCAAAAATAATATTAATAATAAATGATAAAAAATAACAAAACTAAAATTTTAAATAAATAATAAAATAAAAAGGAGGAAGGGCAGGGTGGATGAGGTATGACTTTGTGGCACCAGAGGGACCTGAGTCAAGGTTGAGTTGAACCACCCTCTGTCCAGCTGAGAGTAGCTGCACTTGAGACTCGCAGCTGACCCTGATCCCCAGATTGTGCCCATTTCCAGTTGAGCAGCTTTGATCTCCGGAGCCGCCTGTTCCGCTTCATAGCTGAGGCTCCCCAAGAACTGACCTTGCCCCCGGAGGAAGCTGAGACACTGAGCATTGAGGCTCTCCGTTTGTGGGCGGTGGCTGCCTCCTATGGCCAGGGCGGTGACCTTTACAGGTAAGGAAAGGCAGGCGTAGGCTCCCCCATATACACCCTCACTTCTGCTCTTCTGGTCAAATCAAACACCTCAGCCTTGCTCAAGGTCCCAAGCTTGAAGGGAGGATAAGAATGATGGGGAGGGCTTCTGCCAGGTATGAAAAGGCTTGGGAGTCAGGCCTAGCCAGGGAAGAGGGGGACAAACCTGGGTTAACCACATTCTGTGCTCAAAAGCATTGGTATCTGTGAAATCACATGTGAATTCCCTGTTGCGGGCAGCCTTGAAGGACTACATCCTTTCCCTTCTTCAGGGCTGAGCCTTCCAAGGGTGCCCTGCTCTTTCTCATCCTCCTTCACCAAACTGCAGATCCCTGGGCTAGGGCCATGACTTGTGTCTCATGTCTCCACCTGCCTTCATACAGTGAAAATCAGTCCCTGTTCTTCCCTAGGGACCTCTACCCAGTGGTGATGCGGGCCTTGCAGGTGATGCCGCAGGAGCTCAGCATCCACCCACCTCAGCCCCTGTCCATGCAGCGGATAGCCTCACTGCTCACTCTCCTCACCCAGCTGACCCTGGCAGCTGGCAGCACCCCCACTGAAACCATCAGGTAGAGTACAGCCAGGGCCCGCAGAATAGGTGGAAGGTTCCTCCACAGGGATGGGGTGGCTGGAGCATAGAGGGGTGTGAGGCAGCCAGATCCTCACTGTGGCCCCCTTTGACACTTTTGTAGCAACTCTGTTGAGGCCAGCCTCTCAGTTACCTCCTTAGTCACTTGGACACAGGTGTCTGGGCTCCAGCCTCTTGTTGAGCTGTGTCTAAGGCAAACCTTGAAGTTGCTGTCCAGACCTGAGATGTGGAGAGCTGTGGGCCCAGTGCCTGCTGCCTGCCTGTTGTTCCTGGGTGCCTTCTACCAGGCCTGGAGCAAGCAAGTGAGTGCTGCCTGCCAGCCGCCCACCAGACCCCCGCACCCTGCCTTCAGCTACATTCCACCCATTGCTCTGTGTCCCCCTTTCCGCTCCTACTTCCTTATTTCCTGTCTTCCCTTTTAATTCCTACCCTTCCTCCTCTTTCCACCTCCATATCCCCATGGAGCATCCAAGGAGCCATGTTGGTGGGACCAGAGAGCCTACGCAGCGGCTCAGCCTTCCTGGAGCCTGTGTGCCCTCTCTTTATGCCCCCTAAACATCAGGGCCTTCTCTCTCTTCAGAAGGCTTAGCCTGCAGAAGCCTCCACATGTAGTTTTTTGGGCTCTTTAAGAGTGGTGGCACTGGCTTGGGTACACAGGCGCTAGGAGAATGAATGGCTGGGCCATCAGCTCAGTGAATTCCTTGGTCCTCCAGCCGAGCTCATGCCCAGAGGATTGGCTCCAGGACATGGAGCGCCTGTCAGAGGAGCTGTTGCTGCCGCTGCTGAGCCAGCCCGCCCTGGGCAGCCTGTGGGATTCCCTTAGGTATGTACTGTGTGTGGTAGCCAGGAGAGGCAGGGGAGGTGGCGGTTTCTTTCCTTGTGGGATTTCTGGGTCCAGCTCCTGGGTCCATCCCAGGGTGCAGGCCCTCAGCCCAAGGGAAACTTGAATCCATAGCAGGCAGCAGTAGGGTGGGCTCTGAGGAGTGTGGGCACTGACCTCCACAGCCAGGCCCCCGTTAGTCTTGGGTACAGACCGAGCAATTCTTTTCCAGCCTGGTACACACCAGGCCAGAGTCTCCCTCAGACTCTCCACCTCATCTACAGGCACTGCTCCCCTCTCTGCAACCCGTTGTCCTGTGCGCAAGCCCCTGAAGCTCCCCCAAGCCTCGTGTCACTGGGCTGCTCGGGAGGCTGCCCCCCTCTCAGTCTGGCTGGCTCAGCCTCACCCTTCCCATTCCTCACTGCCCTCCTCTCTCTTCTCAATACCATGGCCTGGATCCACAAGGGGCTGTGTGGCCAGGTAAGTGCGGGGTGCCTGGTTAGGGGCAAGGCAAGGGACCAAGATGGCAGGAATCAGAAATAAAGTAGGAGGGTGGGTTGGGCGTGGCAGCTTATGCCTATAATCCTAGCACTTTGGGAGGCTGAGGCAAGAGGATCACCTGAGGTTGGGAGTTTGAGACCAGCATGACCAACATGGAGAAACCCCATCTCTACTAAAACAAAATTAGCCGGGTGTGGTGGCACATACCTGTAATCCCAGCTACTCAGGAGGCTGAGGCAGGAGAATTGCTTGAAACCGGGAGGCGGAGGTTGCAGTGAGCCAGGATAGCGCCATTGCATTGCAGCCTGGGCAAGAAGAGCAAAATTTCGTCTCAAAAAAAAAGAAAAGAAAGAACGTGGGAGGGTGTCCCATGGGGAAGGGAGGCCTTCTGCCAGCACTTAGTTCCCTGAGTCTGGAGAGAAGGGCAGCCACCTGGGGAGCCCTAGAAGGCATCAGAGTCAATTTCTAGATCTGAAGAAAATTGCTCTTCCTCAGTTGGCTGCCGTATTGGCTGCCCCGGGACTCCAGAAGTACTTCCTCCAGTGTGTGGCTCCTGGGGCTGCCTCTCCCCTCACACCGTTCTCTGCGTGGGCCCTGCGTCATGAGTACCACCTGCAGTACCTGGCACTCGCTCTGGCCCAGAAAGCGGTGGGTCCCCCTGTCTGACAAGTCCTGCCCCCACACCCCGTTATCCCCGTCCTGCTTCTGTGGAACCCAGCCTGCTTCTGGCAGGCCATGCGGCTCCCACTTTCCTCCAGACACACCCTGGACCTATGCCCTTCAGCCTCACTTGTATCCTCTTCCTCAGTTCTCTCTGCCACGTCCCCTTTGCCCTCTCTCCTGCACTAGATCACTCCCTGCTTTTCTGTCTGCAGGCAACACTGCAGCCATTGCCAGCCACCCATGCAGCCCTTTATCATGGTATGGCCTTGGCCCTGCTGAGCCGGCTGCTGCCTGGAAGCGAGTACCTCGCCCATGAGCTGCTGCTGAGCTGTGTATTCCGGCTGGAGTTCCTCCCGTAAGTGCTTGGTCAGTGGCATCAACTCAGCCCTTTTGGATTCTGCTGTGGTTGTTAACAGAGCAGCCCTGAATTCGGAGCCAGGAGACCCAAATTTTACTCTTTCTTCCACGGATTACACTTAGCCCTTCTGAGCTTCCATGACCTCATTAGTGAAGTGAGGATCAGGCTAACCACATCCAAGAATGACTGTGAGACTTCAGTGTCACTGCATGGCTAAAAAAAGTGTATAAATCAGTTACACATAGGTAATAGCCATCAGCTACTGAGTATTTACTCTGTGTCTGATACTTCCTTAGGTATTTATCTACATTTAAGTATTTTATCTGGGCCATGAGATAGATACTATTATTCTTCTTTTACTCTGAGGAAACTGAGGCACAGAGAAGTTACATAAACTAGGCAGCTGGCTCTAGCATGCATCCTCTTAACTGATAAACAGCACTGCGTGGGAGGTTGTTAAGGGAACAGGGAGGCACAGGTCTGGACGTAGGAGCCTCAGAGAAGTTCCCAAGAGCTGCCACAGCCTCCATGTGCTGTGGTTCCAACCCTCATTTTTGGGTCCCATTACAGGGAAAGAACATCAGGGGGTCCAGAGGCAGCTGACTTCTCTGACCAGCTGTCTTTAGGAAGCAGCAGGGCCCCTCGCTGTGGGCAAGGGGCTCTGCTAGCTCAGGCCTGCCAGGACCTCCCCAGCATCCGCAGCTGCTACCTGACTCACTGCTCACCAGCCCAAGCCAGTCTGTTGGCCTCCCAGGCTCTGTACCGAGCAGAGCTACGGCGACTCCCGACCCTGCTACTGCCTGTGCCTACGGAGCCGCTGCTGCCCACCGACTGGCCCTTCCTGCCACTGATTCGCCTCTACCACCAGGTTTCAGACACCCCCTCGGGGCTCCCTCCCACAGACACCGTGGGCACAGCCATGCGGGTCCTGCAGTGGGTGCTAGTTCTGGAGAGCTGGCGCCCCCAGGCCCTCTGGGCTGTGCCCCCTGCTGCCCACCTGGCACGGCTCATGTGTGTGTTCCTGGTGGACAGTGAGCTGTTCCGGGAGTCCCCAGTACAGCGTCTGGTGGCAGTCCTCCTGGCCCAGCTCTGTCAGCCTCAAGTCTTGCCAAACCTCAACCTGGACTGCCCACTCCCTGGCCTGACGTCTTTCCCGGACCTCTATACCAACTTCCTGGATCATTTTGAGGCTGTCTCTTTTGGGGACCACCTCTTTGGGTCCCTGGTCCTCCTGCCTCTGCAGCGTCGGTTCAGTGTCACTTTGCGCCTCGCCCTCTTTGGGGAACACGTGGGAGCTTTGCGAGCTCTGAGCCTGCCTCTGACTCAGGTACTTTCTCAGCCCAGCAGGACCTGCTAAGGGTAACCTGCACTGGGTCCGGGGGTCAGTCCTGAGCCGTGAAGAGTTTTGGAAGACCTCAGCTTCCTCATCTTACTGCTTGGGGGCTTTGAGGGCATTAAGAGAATCAATGAAAGGGATTTAACATGGGGCTGGGTATGGTGGTTCATGCCTGTAATCCCAGCAGTTTGGGAAGCTGAGATGGGGGAGATCACATGAGGTCGGGAGTTTGAGACCAGCCAGGGCAACAAATAGGGTTAGTAAAACCCCATTTCTACTAAAAATACAAAACTTAGATGAGCACGGTGGAATGTGTCTGTAGTCCTAGCTACTCGGGAGGCTGAGGCATGAGAATTGCTTAAACCCGGGAGGCGGAGGCTGCAGTGAGCTGAGATTGAGCCACTGTACTCCAGCCTGGGGGACAGAGCAAGACCCTGTCTCAAAAGAAAAAAGAAAAGGGTTAACATGGTATCTGGCATATGGTGGGTATTCATTACCAACGCATAGCTCCTTGCTCATCAGTGCGACAATCTAGATAATTAGAGATATACTGAAAACCAACATAGTTCCAAATTATTCAGATTCTAGGTATTGTCAGGATTCAAAGAAGGGAAAGATCACATTTGGCTTTGTGGAAGAAGTGGAGATTGACCCAGACACTGTAGGTTGGGTAGAATTTGAATTGGAAGGAGGTAGAAGGGCAGGGGGTTGCTAGCAGAACAACAAAGCAAAAGGAGCATGACAAAGGGCAGAAGGAGGGAGGAAAGATTTCTGTTGGGAACTTGCTGGAAATAAGGCTAAAAATAAGAAGTGAAGTCTGAGAGAGCCTCAAATATCAGGCCAAGGACTTTAATTCATAATCCATAAAGAGTTACTATGTTATGGCTGGGTGAGGTAGCTCATGCCTGTAATCCAATATTTTGGGAGGCCAAGGCAGGAGGGGGCCAAGAGTTTCAGACCAGCTTGGGCAACATAGCAAGACGCTATCTCTACAAAAAAATTTTTGAAAATTAGCCAGGCCTGGTAACATGCCTCTAGACCCAGTTACTTGGGAGCCTGAGGCAGGAGGATCCCTTGAGCTCAGGAGGTTGAGGCTGCCAGTGAGCTGTGATCACACCACTGCATTCCAGACTGGGCAACAGAACAAGGTTCTATTTACTATGTTTTGTTTTTAAGATTTTGTTTTTCTTTTTTTTTTTTGAAACAGAGTCTTACTCTGTTGCCCAAGCTGGAGTGCAATGGCCTGATCTTGGCTCACTGTAGCCTCCACCTCCCAGGTTCAAGTGATTCTCCTGCCTCAACCTCCTTAGTAGCTGGGATTACAGGCATGCAGCACCATACCTGGCTAATTTTTTTTTTTTTTTTTTTTTTGTATTTTTAGTAGAGACAGGGTTCCACCATATTAGCCAGGCTGGTCTCAAACTGCTGACTTAAGTGATCTGCCCACCTTGGTCTCCCAAAGTGTTGGGATTACCTGTGGGAGCAGTTGCACCCAGCTTGGTTTTTATTTTAATTATAGCTTATTCTAATGAACGTCAACTATAAATATTTTAATGTGCAAACATATATTAATTAAAAAGAAAATATAAAATATTTCTAGGAATTAAAAAAAAAAAAAAAAAGCATTGGCCATGCTTGGTGGCTCACACCTGTAATCCCAGCACTTTGGGAGGCTGAGGCGAGCAGATTACCTGAGCTCAGGGGTTCGAGACCAGTCTGGCCAACATGATGAAACCCTGTCTCTACTAAAAATACAAAAAGTAGCTGGGTGTGGTGGTGCACTCCTGTAGTCCCAGCTACTCAGGAGGCTGAGGCAGGAGAATTACTTCAACCCCAGAGACAGAGGTTTCAGCAAGTTGAGATGACACGACTGCACTATAGCCTGGGTGACAGAGCAAGACTCTGTGTCAGAAAAAATATATGTAAAATATTTTTAGGAATTAGAAAAAAAAAAAAAAAAAAGATTGGCCTGGCGCAGTGGTTCACACCTGTAATCCCAGCACTTAGTGAGGCTGAGCTAGGTGGATAACCTGAGGTTAGGAGTTTGAGACCAGCCTGACCAACGTAGTGAAACCCCATCTCTACTAAAAATACAAAATTAGCTGGTTGTGGTGGTGGTGCATGCCTGTAATCCCAGCTACTTGGGAGGCTGAAGCAGGAGAATCGCTTGAACTCCAGAGGCAGAGATTGCAATGAGTGAAGATTGTGCCATTGCATTCTAGCCTGGGTGACAGAGTGAAACTCTGTCTTTAAAAAAAAAAAAATAGAATTGCACAGTTGAACATAACATTTTGAAAGTTTTAAGTTTATTAAAAAGTAGTGGTAGGCAGTAGAACATCACAACTGCTTCTTTTTTTGTAATAATTTAGACTTTTATTAGAGGGTCTTGGTGGACAGAGATAACAGGATCTCATTACCCACTTCATAAAGTTTCTTCTCTCTCTGCACATTGGGGACATGTACAGGTTTGTTACATGGGTATATTGTGTAAGGAAAACGATCTCATCACCCAGGTAGTGAGCATAGTATCCAATAGCTTTTCAACCCTTTCCCCACCCCTGCCTTCATCAGCTCGTAGTCCCCGGTGTCTGTTGCTTCCATCTTTCTGGCCATAAGTACCCAGTGTTTAGCTCCCACTTATAAGTGAGAGCATGTATTTGGTTTTCTGCTCCTACGTTAATTCGCCTAGGATTTTATGACAAAGCCTCCCTCTGTTAGCCAAGCTGGAGTACACTGATGTAATCTGGGCTCACTGCAACCTTTGCCTCCCAGGTTCAAGCGATTGTCCTGCCTCAGCCTCCTGACGACAGGGACCTGCCACCATGCCTGGCTAATTTTTATATATTTTTTTTCCCACCCACCCCCTGATTTTTGTATTTTTACAAACATTTTTGTAAATTTTGTAAAAGAGATGGGAGTTTCACCATGTTGGCCAGGATGGTCTTGATCTCTTGACCTCGTGATCTGCCAACCTCGGCCTCCCAAAGTGCTGGGATTGCAGGCGTGAGCCACCGCACCCGGCCAATTGCATTCTTTTTTATGGCTGCTTCTCAGTTTCCAGTTTTCCCTGACTTCTGCTCTGTAGCGTTTAACCCTGATCCTTTTGCTAGAGAAGGACAAATATCTGTTCAGAACCTGATCTCTGCCCTCATGATTTGGTTTCATGTGATCATTATCCATGCACCTTGTAGATGTATATACATTCCTACCCTCCCCCTCAGCACATCATTTCACCTGTCACAGTTGCCTGTGTCCCTGGAGTGCTACACGGTACCTCCTGAAGACAACCTGGCCCTTCTTCAGCTCTACTTCAGGACCCTGGTTACCGGTGCGCTCCGTCCACATTGGTGCCCTGTGCTCTATGCTGTGGCTGTGGCTCATGTCAATAGCTTCATCTTCTCTCAGGACCCACAGAGCTCAGTAAGTTACACCTCCATCTTCAGAGGAAGGAAGGGAGCTAGCAGTTGAGCTCCCTCTGGGCCACCTGGGGGAGAGGTGAGGGCCAGGCAAGGCCAGTGGTGGGTACCAGCCCTAATCTCAGTGCCACATCTCCCTGTTCTGCTTCTAGGATGAGGTAAAGGCTGCCCGCAGGAGTATGCTGCAGAAAACATGGCTGCTGGCAGATGAGGTAGGGTCAGGGCCATTAGGAAGGTGGGCTATTAGAAGATCTTACATGACTAAGACCACAAGATCTCATTACCCACTTCATAAGGTTTCTTTCCTCTCTGCAGGGTCTCCGGCGGCACCTCCTCCACTATAAGCTTCCCAATTCCACGCTCCCAGAGGGCTTTGAGCTCTATCCTCAGTTGCCCCCTCTGCGTCAGCACTACCTCCAAAGACTGACTTCAGCGGTGCTCCAAAATGGGGTATCGGAGACCTAGGACAGTTGCTATAGATGTTCTGTATCCAGCCTTTCAACAGATGCCCAGCCAGACAGAGGACATTGTGTCCTAATGGTAGGCAGGAGACCAAGGACCACAAGGCTCGCCTTCCTGGGAGCAGGTTGTTTGAGCTGTTTGGGAGCAGAATGAGCCCTACCATTACGTCCTGATATCTGGGGCTCCTGAAGGTCTGTGCTGGGAGTGAAGAGTGACTTAGCTGTTTAGCTTGTCTTTGGGGACAGGGCAAACTAAATGCATCTCTCCTTACCTACTCCCACCCCCTGCCCCGGGCTGAGGTATATGAACGCTATAGTTGTACATTAAAATAAATGTTTTCTATCTCCTGGAAATCTGATTTGGACTAATTTCACCCATGTTAGTTCAGGGTTAGTATCTGGGGGCGGGTTATCCCAGGTGAGAGCAGGACTGCTTTGAGAGAGATGGGGAAGAATCATAAGCGGGAGGTAAAAACATCTAAAGACAGCAAGAATGTGGGACCAAATACACACACCTCTAGTGCCAAATACTTGGGAGGCTGAGGCAGGATGATCACTTGATTCCAGGAATTCAATTCTAGCCTGGGCAACATAGTGAGACCCCCATGTCTCTTTGTTTATTTATTTATATATTTATTTCTGAGACAGGGTCTTGGTCTGTTTCCCAGGCTAGAGTGCAGTGGTGTGACCATAGCTCATCGCCATCTCGACCTCCTAGGCTCAAGCCATTCTTCCACCTCAGCCTCCTGAGTAGCTGGGACCACAGGCAAGTGCCCCCGTGCCTGGCTAATTTCTTGCATTTGTAGAGATAGGGTTTCACCATGTTCACCAGGTTGGTCTTGAATTCCTGAGTTCAAGCAGTCCACCCACCTCGGCCTCCCAAAGTGCTAAGATTCCAGGCATAAGCCACTATACCTGGCCTATTTTGGTAGTTTTTAGATTGTTCTTTTGTCTGAATTCTAAAACTTAGGCTTTCTTAGACTGTCCTTTCCTATGTGGACTTACTGTGTTTGCAAGTAATCAGAGTGAGAGCAGTGTGCCATGGCCTAGCCCTGTCAGTAGGTGTAGAGAAAACCATCCTCATAAATGGAGTTGCTGAACACAGAATTATCCAACAGTGTTTTTGTTTTTGAGAAGGAGTCTTGCTCTGTTGCCCAGGCTGGAGTACAGTGGCGCGATCTCAGCTCACCACAATCTTCCCCTCCCAAGTTCAAGCCATTCTCTTGCCTCAGCCTCCAAGTAGCTGGGGATTATAGGTGTGTACCATCATGCCCAGCTAATTTTTGTAATTTTAGTAGAGATGGGTTTTCACCATGTTGGTCAGGCTGGTCTTGAACACCTGAACTTGTGATCCGCCTTCCAAAGTGCTGGGATTACAGGCGTGAGCCACCGTGCCTGGCCTGTTTTTTTTGGAGACAGTCTCACCCTGTAGCCCAAGCCAGAGTGCAGTGGCACAGTCTTGGGTCACTGCAGCCTCCGCCTCCCGGGCTCAAGCAACTCTCATGGGCTCAGCCTCTTGAGTATCTGGGACCACAGGGGTGTGTCACCATGCTCAGCTAATTTTTTGTATTTTTAGTAGAGGTGGGGTTTCACCATATTGCCTAGGGTGGTTTCAAAGTCCTGAGCTCAGGTGATCCGCCCACCTCGGCCTCCCAAAGTGCTGGGATTATGTGAGCCACGGTGCCCAGCCCCACTACGGTTTATTAAGCAACTGCTGGATCAGCAAATTCCAAGATTCTGAAATTTACGTGACAAAAATCACCTGGAGGTATTTTAAAACAGGTTACTGGGCCCTACCAACTGCCAGAAGTAAACCCAAGGATCTGCAGTTCTAACAAGTTCCCAGGTGATACTGATACTGGTGTTCAGAACCAACCACAATTTGAGGAGCAGTGCCTTAGAGACTGCAAGGTAAATTCTGTCACCTCATAGTGTGATAGCTAGTGTTAACTAGGGCATAGAGACCAGGTTTTACAAGATCACTGTTGTGGCCACAACTTGCTTTACACTGAGACTTTACCAAGTAGCTAACTACTAAAACTTCGCTTTTGAAGTGTTTTATAATAAACATAGGTCTCAGACTTTTAAGTTAGAATTTTCTTTTTTTTTTTTTTTTTTTTTTGGAGATGGAGTTTTGCTCTTATTGCCCAGGCTGGGGTGCAATGGCGCGATTTCAGCTCACTGCAACCTCTGCCTCCTGGGTTCAAGTGATTCTCCCGCCTCAGCCTCCAGAGTAGCTGGGATTACAGGCATGCGTCACCAGGTGTGGCTATTTTGTGCTTTTAGTAGAGACAGGTTAGTCAGGCTGGTCTCCAACTCCTGACCTCAGAAGATCTGCCCACCTCAGCCTCCCAAAGTGCTGGGATTACAGGTGTGAGCCATCATGCCGGCCCTCAAGTTAGGATTTTAAGCAAATGATTGAGGACCCAAGACACAAAACTACCTGAAGGGAGTGGCTCCCACATTTATAGGGTAACTTGTAGCTTACAGAGCAATTTCCCTTCATATTATTTTGCAAGTGGTAGAGAAACTCTCAGAGCAATTGTGGCCTGTGCTACATCACCCACAGACCAGAGATGCTAGTACTAGTAGTCAAGGTCGAGCTATCTAGCTATCTAGCTAGGTATCTATCATCAGTCATCCTTCAGTGCTACTAAAAGCTCTCGGATCTTCTGACCTCTTGTCCAGTCTTTTACCCCATCACAGTGAGAAGTTGTGCACAGGAGTAACACAGGCAACCGAACTACATAAGGCAAACACAGAGATCCAAGTTTCTGGGGGCAGCAGGGAGGTTCAGCCTTGTGGTCACAAGGGCACCACTGAAAGCCACAAGCAATGGCAAGTAATGAGACCTTACTTGGGGCAGTTTAAAGAGTACTTCCTGGCCGGGCGCGGTGGCTCACGCCTATAATCCCAGCACTTTGGGAGGCCGAGGCCGGCAGAACACGAGGTCAGGAGTTCGAGACCAGCCTGGCCAACATGGTGAAACCCCATCTCTACCAAAAATAGCGAAAAGAAATTAGCTGGGCGTGGTGGCGGGCGCCTCAGGAAGCTACTCAGGAAGCTGAGGCAGGAGACTCGCTTGAACCCGAGAGGCCGAGGTTGCAGTGAGCCGACATCGTGCCACTGCACTCCAGTCTGGGCGACAGAGCAAGACTCTGCCTCAAAAAAAAAAAAAAAAAAAAGTACATCCCATGTGTGGTCACGCGTGCCGCACACCCACCACCACCACTACCACAAATGAAGGGCACACTCCACTGATCCTGTCCTCAGGAACCTGGAAGCCCCCACCTGGTGTCCGAGGCGTGGCTCCCGCTTTGAGGGTGGGGCACCTCCTTTCCGGCCTCAAACCTACCCCAGCTCCTGGCTGGCTGCGGCAGATGTGACGACTGAAGACTAGAGCCCTAGGTGGGGACTCCATCAGGCTCCTCCCGGAAGCGTAGGGACCTCGCTGCCCACACGCCCCGCCCTTTCCTCCTCTGGCGTCCTGGGGTCTGAGGTGGGCGTGGTCAGGCCGGCTTTAAGTCCTGGGGAGAGTCTTGCCAGCCGCAGGACATCCCTGTAAGCGGCGGCCCGGGCTGCGGTGGGCAAAGCGAGCTGTCAACTTCAGGTTGACAGGCGTGGCCGAGACCGAAAGGGCTGTTGCGGGGTGAACCCAACGGAGATGGGCCGCTGGGGCCTGCTGCTGGTATGGTTCGGAGCCGCGGGTAAGTGCCGTCTGTTGGTCAGAGGACGGTCCAGCCGGAGGCACCTTCCTAGGCTTGGGGGTGGCCGGTCGCAACAGGCCAGGTGTCAGTGGTTCCTCCAGAGCCCTCGAACTCTCACAGCCAAATTTCTCGGGCCCGTGCTTCTGAAGTGCAGACGGAGAAGCGCCAAGCGCGTGTGAATCCGAGTCTGGATCACGCAGCTTGGGAAGGAGGAACATTCTTTGCGGTCTCAGCGCCGCCTTGGGGCGGGGCCATCAATCTAAGTCGAGGAAAGCACGCGGGAGACTGGAGAACCGAATTCAGTGCGGCCCCCAAACCATTCACTGGGAAGGGCGCTTGAGGAGAGAAACTGGCGGAGCTATGAGCGAGCACCCGCGGGGCTTCTGCGACAGGCGTCCGGTGGTGGCTTCCAGGCTGAGCGCGCAAGCTGGGCGGGGTGAGGGGTGTGGCCGCGCCCGCAAGGGCTGCTGTTGCGGGGTTCTTTCTTTTATATCCTGTTTCCACCCCAGTTAACATCCTGCGCCCTCTGCTAACACCTTTCAGGCGCCATTCTCTGCTTTAGCCCCGGGTCCCAGGAGCCTTTTCTGCCGTCCTCGCCCCTGCCGCTGTCAAGTCCCAGCCCCCTGGACCGGAAAGTCAACGGCCCGCGTAGCAGCTTGGAGCCAACCTCCCAGCTGAATTCTCGGGGTGAGCTCCAGGCGCCTCCCTCCTCTTCCGCTCACCATTCCAGACCCCTCTAGCCCAGCCAGAGGCTCGACGATCCTTGCCTCGCTCCTTGCTCCCAGGCACCGAGGAGTCTTGGCTGTTTAATACCTGCGGGGCCAGTGGCAGGCATGGGCCCACACAAACACAATGTGACGGGGCGTACGCGGGGACCAGCGTGGTGGTGACCGTGGGGGCCGCCGGGCATCTGAGAGGCGTGCAGCTGTGGCGCGTGCCGAGCCCCGGCCAGTATCTGTAAGTGCGGGGCGGGGGTAGGGTGGGCAGTGACCTGGGAGTCGGAGGTTTCACCGTCAGGGGAACGAAGGCCACATGTGCACCGCCTTGCGTCTTGGGATATTGCGCAGGGAGGTCCACCCAGGCCGACCTTGAGTGCCCCTCAAGGTGGCAGTAGTCGCCACCGAGTTAGACCGTACCTGGAACCTCTTCCACCGAGCGGAAGCCCCCCAGCCAGGGCGGTGCCAAAGGGTGCTTGAGCCTCCGCACATCTCCACGAACCCTCCTGAAATAAGTGTGATATTTAATTTTTCGGTGTGCAAAATCAGCCTTCCCATCCTGTCAGAGTCTATTGCAGCCTCCAAGTTCCTCAGATAAAAAATTATTCTGGAACCTCCTCTATCGTCACCTTCTGCCAGCAGCGGCCGGCCTGAGCACCGAGGGCTGGGGACTCACCGCCCGCTCTCCGCAGGATCTCAGCCTACGGAGCTGCGGGTGGCAAAGGCGCCAAGAACCACCTGTCGCGGGCGCATGGCGTCTTCGTCTCAGCAATCTTCTCCCTCAGTCTCGGAGAGTCGCTGTACATTCTGGTGGGGCAGCAGGGAGAGGACGCCTGTCCTGGAGTAAGCGCAGCCAGTGGGGATGGGGCGGCTCCGGCGCCGCGGGGTGAGGGCTGCCTGGGGGCCGGGGGGACGAGCCTTCCTCAGTGCC